CTAACTCTGGGGAAGATATAATTACCGCACTCACCGGTTTTAGTATCATGGTTGGAATGACTGTACGTGAGGTGTGTATGTGCGAGTTCGCGATCTTCTCTCCCCTCAAGGAAGGTTCCTTGATGTTGGTGAGGGGCTCTTGATTTAGGGAATTGGATCTGTGCTCCAGTTCCCCGAATTAAGCCTGAATGCCTTCCACCTCCCCCATCCCAGGCGCTGTATAATCCTCCGGGTTTAGCGCTTCCCCCTTGATTATACTAATAATGTGTAACGATGCCAGGTGATGGAAATGGGCTTTGAAAACCGACAGTTGAAAAATGAGACATTTGTTCAAGATTGGGAATCTTTAGTGTGGAAACGTTTCGCCAGAAGTGATCAAGGTCCCAGGGCTGAAACGTTTTCTAGTGGATAAGAAGGGCTGGTATACTTCGGGTATACCAGCCCTTCCTTGTGGGACGGTGTCTTCATGTAAAAGGCTCTTGATCCAAGGAATTATAGCTATCCACCCCGTGGATCAAGTTTCATATCCTTTCGTCCTCTAGGCAGTGTATGACCCCTGATGGGTTTAGCGCTTCTCTAATGTAACGATAATGGTTAAGGGAGTTTTAATGCAAGAGATTTTAGTTACCCATTTTGCTTTCTTTGATCGAACATAATAACCTCTCATACCCAGGCACTGTATCACTCTTGCAGGTTTAGCACTTCTCTGTGGATATAATCAGGGACGGATCTACTAGGGGTCCCAGAAGACCTTTAGCCCACATAGCTTAAAAATTTTTGGTCTGCTGTATGAAAAGGGGTCGCAAAGGGGCCCCGAAAATGTAGGTCCATCACTGGATATCATAACGATAATTATATAGGAATAAGTGTAAAGAGATTAGTAATGGTGAGAAATTGAGACACATATGCAACATATATAAAAATTCCCATATGTTGCGTGTCTCAATTCTTCAACTTGTCGGTTTTCAAAACCATTTATCACATTAGTAATGGTATTATCACCTCTCTCTTGATCAATACAGAGGCTCTAGGCTGCACGTTTTCTATGGTGTTCCTCCTCTTGTGTCTCAACTACATGTCTAACATTTTTTTGTACCCTATGTGGCATAATGAATACCTTTGATACACTTTTGAGTTTCGAGAGTTTTTCTACCTGAGCCCGGCCATGAGTCAGGCTCGTCTGGTGCTAGCCTTGTCAAGCAGTCTGCTGCTGCTGTTGGTGGCCCACTGACCCACATATCCACCACAGCCTGGTTGATAAAAACATAAGGAAGGAGCACTGAGTAGGCCTACTGGCTCATGCTAGGCAGGTTCAAATCACCTACTTGCCCAATCCAGTCAGGTCCAACTCTTACCCACCCACACCCACTCATGTAATTTGTCTAACCTATTTTTAAAATACACAATTTAGCCTTCAACAACGATATTCGGGAGTTTGTTCCACTTATCCACAACTGTTACCAAACCAGTGCTTTCATGTATCCTTTTTTAAACTTAAATTTTTCCAACTTTAACCCATTGCTGTGAGTCCTGTCTTGGTTAGATATTTTTAACATGTTTCTTACATCCCCTTGACATGTGCTGATCTCTGGTCAATGGTATATATAGTATAACCCAGTCATTGATTTCGTCATTGTGATAACTTGAGAAAGCCTCCTGTGATTGGCTTCACATAAGAAGGCACTGGACAGACATCTAAGTCAATACCTGACTAACCAGGGTGTGGTTCGTATGTTTATGCAGCCAGCAGTGACAACCTGGTTGATCAGACCCTGATCCACCACGCGGTCTGGTCATGGCCATGGAGCTGTTGGCCCCCAAATCACCCTCCAGGTATACACCAGTTATACATGTTCAGCAGACATGTTTCTTATATAAATAAGTTAAAATAATTATTGAAGTGTGTAGGAACAAATTTGAAAATTACTTTTTTGAAATGGTGTGGTATTTCCCATAAAATACCTTAATTATGCATTCTCCAAATGGTTTAAATCAAGGCTGAGGGACTGATTACCTCAAACTACTACTACTAGTAATTTGTCTCTAGTACTGTTCTGTATTGGACTGATAAAGACTGCTGAGTGAAATGTTTTCACAATAAAGATTCCAAAGACTCACGAAATGGTATTAACATGATTGCAAACATATCACAGAATGGGTGGGGCTTGTCATCAGTGTTGAGGTTGGGAGACTACTCACTCCCGCCTCCACATTGACCACACTCGTCTTACTCATGGATATCTCATGAAGAGGCGTCCTGCTCCTCTCTGTGAGAATTGTCAGGTTCCAGGATATCTCATGGAGAGGCGTCCTGCTCCTCTCTGTGAGAATGTCAGGTTCCAGGATATCTCATGGAGAGGCGTCCTGCTCCTCTCTGTGAGAATTGTCAGGTTCCAGGATATCTCATGGAGAGGCGTCCTGCTCCTCTCTGTGAGAATTGTCAGGTTCCAGGATATCTCATGGAGAGGCGTCCTGCTCCTCTCTGTGAGAATTGTCAGGTTCCAGGATATCTCATGGAGAGGCGTCCTGCTCCTCTCTGTGAGAATTGTCAGGTTCCAGGATATCTCATGGAGAGGCGTCCTGCTCCTCTCTGTGAGAATTGTCAGGTTCCAGGATATCTCATGGAGAGGCGTCCTGCTCCTCTCTGTGAGAATTGTCAGGTTCCAGGATATCTCATGGAGAGCGTCCTGCTCCTCTCTGTGAGAATTGTCAGGTTCCAGGATATCTCATGGAGAGGCGTCCTGCTCCTCTCTGTGAGAATTGTCAGGTTCCAGTATCGGTCAGCCACATTCTATTAGACTGCCCACTCTATCAACGAGCACGCAGAATTTACCTCCAACGTCGTCTTCGCTCTGCTGCTCTCTCTTTACCTTCCCTTCTTGCTGATGGACCCACCTTTCATCCAGACAGTCTCATTGACTTTTTGACAACAACTGACTTACTCCACAAACTCTGATGATGATACCTTTAGCACTCCCCTCAGCCCTTTCTACCTCAATCTCTTGCTACCCACTACCCCTGCACTATCCCCTGCCCTGCTGATTTCTGTAACCTACTAATCATCCCTCCCCCCTTCTGCTGCCCGATTCCCTCGCTTCCTTCCCTGCCCTGCAGCGCTGTATAGCCCTTGTGGTTTAGCGCTTCTTTTGATTATAATAATAATAATTGAACCCATCACAAGTGAGTGCTGCCACTCACAGGTCAGTGTGGAACAACATGCCAGGCAGTGTCATTGACACAAGAACTTTGGGTAGCTTTAAATATATGTTGGATATCCGTATTATGGTGAATCAGGACCTGATCAACCAGTCTGTTACTGCTGGCCACACTTAGTACCTGACCTGTCCAGCTCCCTCTTAAAGTAAGCCAGGGGTCTATTGGCAATTCCCCCTCTGTATACTGGGAGACAGTTGAGCAGTCTTGGACCAATGACACTTATTGTGTTGTCTCTTAGTGTACTCATGGCACCCCTGCTTTTCACTGAGGGAATGTTGCAATACCTGCCAAGTCTTTTGCTTTCATGGGGATGGGTAAATGACTGAAAAATTAACAAGTGTAGGTGGGTGTGAGTTAGACCTGCCTAGCATGGGTCAGTAGGCCTACTGCAGTTTTCCTTCTTTCTTGGCTGGCTTCCCTATTAATATATTATACAGTAACAGTATTTAGGAATACATTAGAACCCCTGTATTCAATTTCCAGTTTTGGTTATCATGGTTTACTGTGGCCCAAAAAGAACCCTTAATTTTGCTTAAAATGGCCCCAGAGCACAAGAGTAGTGATGGCGACAGTTCTTCAAAGTTTAAGAGAAGTCGTGAAGTGCTTCCCATCAGTGAAAAGTACTAATTCTCCACTTATTGTGCATAACTTATCAATTAAACCTTATCATAGGTTCATATTTAAATGGAAATCTACTTAAATACACCTACCATCTGACTTACGACCGAATTCGGCTCCGAGAAACCGGTCGTAAGTCGAAATGGTCGTAAGTCGAACTTTACTACTGAATATCAACAAAACATTTTTGTAATGACTTTTTTTTATTCTTTTATTTTGGTATTTCATGTTTTACTTTACTTTTTATGATTGTTAGTACTGTATTTTATACTGTAAGGTTTAGGATAAACACTGTGTACAACACAAATACTTGTTTATTTCCCAGAAATTTGGCATAAAAAACACAGTCGTAAGTCGAGTGGTCGTAAGTCGAGCAGGTGATAAGTCGGATGGTAGGTGTATATGTAGAGCTCACTGCTGTCTGTGGTTTTGAGTAACCTTGGTAGGTCCTGGAAGGTATCATTCATGGATACTGGAGGACTGTTGTATTAACCACTTTCAATGTTATAACCCCCCCCCCCCCAAAAAAAAAAAAAAAAAAGGTTAAAGTGTAGATAGAGACAAAAATGTTATCTTCTGAAATGATGAAGAATTTTTCTGCGAGGGGCCCTACCCACTATCTATTTCTTTCACTTTGAGGTCTATTTCAAACTGTTTCTGGTATGAAACTGACCAGAATCATCTCTGTTTCACTAGTATGTTTAACATAATATTAATTGATACCAAGAAAGTCAATAAAATCATAAAAACCACGCAAAACATGTCAGAATACATACATGGGTAGTTATTTTAAACCTAACACAAGATTGGAGGTTTGCTCTTCCCGTCATGCACTGTGTGGGGCAAGACACAAGACCCATTCTCTTGTGTCTAGGCCAAAATTTACCACTAACAGCATATTTGAAGCGTAAATCTGCAGAGCTTTCACTCTGAAGGAAGGGTGGAGATATGTTGCCCTTTTTCAGCTGTAGTATTGGCATGCCTCTGGCAAGACAGTGATGAAGTGAGTGATGATGAAAGTGTTTCTTCTTTATCGGGTCATCCTGCCTTGCTGGGAAATGGCCGATTTGTTAAAAAAAAAAATCTACGTGGGAGACTGTGAGTGAAAGGGTTAATTGGCATGTTTTTCCATTGCATTTTTCGGCTAATTTCCTTGCGTATTTCAGGAAACAAGGAGGTGGCCATGGAGTTATACCGCCGCGGCATCACCGAGTTGGAAAGTGGAATTGCTATAGATTGTGAAGGTCGTGGTGAAGCCTACGAGAGAGCGCAGAGACTGCAGGATAAGATGAGAACCAATCTGATAATGGCTAAAGAGAGGCTGGACATGCTAGGTAAGTTTACTATACCACAGTTAAACAGGTGCGCTTCCAGCCCACAAAGAATACACTACTTCGTACAGTATAGTGATCATTGATTTGTTGTTATCCTACGAGGCCTGGTCTAATACTGGGCCATGAGTGAGATAATCACCAGAACAACTTAATAAATAAGAGATCCTTTATATACAGATGCTCCTCACTTTAACACGGTTCAGTGTGATATTTCGACCTTATGATGGTGCAGTTACACCATTGTAAATTCAAATTACCACCATCGTACAGTACTTTATATTTATTGTTAGGGTAAACTTGTACATATTCATTTATTTACTTTTCAATACTGGTATTTAGTTAGTTGCAGTAACTATTTGTTTATGTATTTAGTTATTCAGTGGCAGTACGTAGTTATTTATTTACCTGTTTATCATATACAGTGGACCCCCGCATAACGATTACCTCCGAATGCAACCAATTATGTAAGTGTATTTATGTAAGTGCGTTTGTACGTGTATGTTTGAGGGTCTGAAATGGACTAATCTACTTCACAATATTCCTTATGGGAATAAATTCGGTCAGTACTGGCACCTGAACATACTTATGGAGTGAAAAAATATCGTTAACCGGGGGTCAACTGTACATGTATTCATATTCATCTTACGATATTTTCAACTTTCGATGGGTTCATTGCAACGTAAGTCAAGGAGCACCTGTCCTCTGCATACTTAGGAGTATAAACCAACTCTTCGTATAAGCTGAACCTTGATATTTTTGCTCAGATATCCTTCATTTTTCATGTACAGGAATACCTGGCTAATACGGCAGGTTAGGTTCCATACTGTTGCCATAAAGCCAATACATGTATCGTCTTAAAGCAAATCACAGCCTTTTTTTCCACTTTCTTGTTTATAAAAGCCTATAAATTATTTACTATCGTTTATTAGTGCACAATAGCGCTAGTCCTAAAAAATTTTACAAAAAAAAAAAATAACAAAGAAATACTCATCACTGCCGAAAAGCATCATAAGACGCTTATGATTGAAAGTGCCGTATTAGTGAAGCAAAGTGTCTTAAAGTGAGGTATTCTTGTATCTGCTTTAGAGAAACCTTAAAATAAATTGGGTAACTCAATACCCAAATTTTCATGTCTGAATTTGAAAAAATCGTGCCTAAGAGTAAAATACAGTGGACCCCCGCATAACGATGGCATCACATAGCGATTTTTCCGCATACCGCTTACTTTTATCGCAAAATTTTTGCCGCGCATACCGATTAAAAACCCGCTCACCGATTTTCGTCCGAGACGCGTCCAATGTGCCCTCACATGTGCCGCCCGTCCCATTGTTTACCAGCCAGCCTCCGCGGTAACATCCAAGCATACACTCGGAATATTTCGTATTATTACAGTGTTTTCGGTGCTGTTTCTGGAAAATAAGTGACCATGGGCCCCAAGAAAGCTTCTAGTGCCAACCCTGTGGTAAAAAGGGTGAGAATTAGTATGGAAATTAAGAAAGATTTTGAAGGGTTTGGGGCTAACCCTGAGAAGCCTATGCCAGTTGTGGAATCCATTGTGCCTACTTCAAAGATTAAGGAAATGTGTGCACAGTGGGTTGAACTGCAAACCTTTATGGATGAAAATCACCCTGACACAGCTGTTGCAAGCCGTGCTGGTGACTATTTCAATGACAATGTTGTGGCCCATTTTAGACAAATCGTAAAGGAACGGGAGGTACAGAGCTCTATGGACAGATTTGTTGTGCGACAGAGGTCCAGTGACTCTCAAGCTGGTCCTAGTGGCATTAAAAGAAGAAGGAAGTAACCCCGGAAAAGGACTTGCTACCTCAAGTCGTAATGGAAGGGGATTCCCCTTCTAAACAGTAAGAAGATAATGCTCTCCCCTCCTCCCATCCCATCAATCATCACCAGATCTTCAATAAAAGTAAGTGTCATGTAAGTGTGCATGCCTTTTTCAGTTTGTGTGTATTAAAATTAACATTTCATGTGGTAAAAAAAATTTTTTTTCATACTTTTGGGCGTCTTGCACGGATTAATTTTATTTCCATTATTTCTTATGGGGAAAATTCATTCGCATAACGATTATTTCGCATAACAATTATCCCTCTTGCACGGATTAAAATCGTTAACCGGGGGTCCACTGTAGTAGAGCGGTAGCTGACCAGCCGAGCTGTGGCACATATGTCAGTTTATGTGCAGCCAGCTGTAACAACCTGGTTGATCAGGTCCTCATCCACCACCAGGCCTGGTCATGGACCAGGCTGTGGGGCCATTGACCCCCAGAACACTCTGCGGGTATACTCCAGGTATATAGAGCTAGCTTTTATTCCCTCAAGGGAGGTGCCAGTGAGGGGCTCTTGATCCGAGGAATTGGGCCTATCCTCTCCTTGAACCAAACATGATTGCCTCCCATTACCCCAGGCTTTGTATGAGTCCCATCACCCCAGGCTTTGTATGACTCCCATCACCCCAGGCTTTGTATGGCTCCCATCACCCCAGGCTTTGTATGACTCCCATTACCCCAGGCTTTGTATGACTCCCATCACCCCAGGCTTTGTATGACTCCCATTACCCCAGGCTTTGTATGACTCCCATTACCCCAGGCTTTGTATGACTCCCATCACCCCAGGCTTTGTATGACTCTCATTACCCCAGGCTTTGTATGACTCCCATCACCCCAGGCTTTGTATGACTCCCATCACCCCAGGCTTTGTATGACTCTCCATTACCCCAGGCTTTGTATGACTCCCATCACCCCAGGCTTTGTATGACTCCCATTCACCCCAGGCTTTGTATGACTCCCATTACCCCAGGCTTTGTATGACTCCCATCACCCCAGGCTTTGTATGACTCTCATTACCCCAGGCTTTGTATGACTCCCATCACCCCAGGCTTTGTATGACTCCCATCACCCCAGGCTTTGTATGACTCCCATCACCCCAGGCTTTGTATTACTCCCATCACCCCAGGCTTTATATGACTCCCATTTCCCCAGGCTTTGTACAATCCCCATGGGATTCACCTTTCCTCAGTGGGAAATGGCCTGTGTGTTAAACAAACTAATAATACTGGAGGGTCCCGCTCATACAGCAGGGTCCCGCTCATACAGCAGGGTCCCGCTCATACAGCAGGGTCCCGCTCATACAGCAGGGTCCCGCTCACTCAGCAGGTCAGGTTCCAGGTTGCCGCTGTGAGGCAGAAATCACCAAAAAGTGGAATGTATCTTCTTTTCACTTTCAAATGTATATAAAAGCATGGTAACTTGTTTATACTATCATATATTAAGTTTTTTGTAGGTAGTAGGTTGGTAGACAGCAACCGCCCAGGGAGGTACTACCGTCCTGCCAAGTGAGTGTAAAACGGAATCCTGTAATTGTTTTACATGATGGTAGGATTGCTGGTGTCTTTTTTTCTGTCTCATAAACATGCAAGATTTCAGGTACGTCTTGCTACTTCTACTTACACTTAGGTCACACTACACATACATATACAAGCATATATATACACACCCCTCTGGGTTTTCTTCTATTTTCTTTCTAATTCTTGTTCTTGTTTATTTCCTCTTATCTCCATGGGAAAGTGGAACAGAATTCTTCCTCCGTAAGCTATGCGTGTTGTAAGAGGCAACTAAAATGCTGGGAGCAAGGGCCTAGTAACCCCTTCTCCTGTATAAATTACTAAATTTAAAAAGAGAAACTTTTGTTTTTCTTTTTTGGGCCACCCTGCCTTGGTGGGAATCGGCCAGTGTGATAATAAAAAAAAAATATTAAGTGCACAATAGAGCTAGGCCTAAAGAAAAAAACGATGGGAAAGTGAAACGAATGTACAGTACACACTTTTTTGTACCAAAAAATGCTGGAATAGTGGAACAGTACCGAAAAAAATAAGGAATGGGTGTAATTGAGAACTGGGAAAAAGCAAAATATCATAAACCTAGACATTTTTTGTAATAGCATTAACAAGCTGAAGGAGGAGTGTTAATGTTGCAGTTTAAAAACTGTAGTGTAAAGCACCCTTCTGGCAAGACAGTGATGGAGTGAATGATGGTGAAAGTTTTTCTTTTTCGGGCCACCCTGCCTTGGTGGGAATCAGCCAGTGTGATAATAAATAAACAAAAAAAAATTTGACAAGCTTGTATTACAGCAATATTTTATTTTGTGTAAGCCTTAACAAGACTTAATGAAGCTTCACACGAAGTATAACATTGTAACATTGGAAGATTCATCCATTATATCAACATTTACTAACGTAGAATATTCAACATTCTACCAGAAGATATCAGAAACACTGCCACGACGTGTGTAGAAGTCTTATAGGAAACTCGATCAGTGTTTCTGCCAAGTGGCAGATCAACCAGGCTGTGATGAATATTTGGACCAGTGAGTCCACATATACATCATAGCCATCATGAACAGCCTGGTTGATGAGCCAGGATTAAGAAGTAGGAAAAATCTTGAAAAAGGTCGCAGGTATATTATGTACGCGGTTTTTGCCTGGTGCTGTCTGCATCGTCTTGTGTCAGTGTAGAGTATTGTGTCAGTGTAGAGTATTGTGTCAGATTGTGTCAGTGTAGAGTATTAATTCAGTATTTAAGTGCATGTTATAAAAAGTCATTTGACATTTTAGACTGATAAAGATGGTACATTTGTTTAACCTTCTTGATTTTATAAAAATGATGTTTTCAATATTTTAAATACAGTGGTACCCTGAGTTTCTTATAACTCCCAACTCAAGCAATTATGTAAATACAGTGGTACCCTGAGTTTCTTACAACTCCCAACTCAAGCAATTATGTAAATACAGTGGTACCCTGAGTTTCTTACAACTCCCAACTCAAGCAATTATGTAAATACAGTGGACCCCCGCATAACGATCACCTCCGAATGTGACCAATTATGTAAGTGTATTTATGTAAGTGCGTTTGTATGTGTATGTTTGGGGGTCTGAAATGGACTAATCTACTTCACAATATTCCTTATGGGAACAAATTCGGTCAGTAC